ACCTCCCAGCCCCTGTGTTCTCCCACGGCCAGCTATATGTTGCCTTTTCATGTGCCAGAGGCTACTCCAACATCTACATCAAAGTGGACAAACATTCATCACAAGGTCTTTTCAACAACAGGACCCTCAGGCAAAATGTCATCTACAAGGAAATCTTTTACAGGACTATGGTAGCACTACCCCCATAACCGACCCAACTTCTAATATCAATCTACTACTACTACTGTAACCCTGTTTAAATTTTGCTGTTTTTATGGAATAAACTGAAGGAATGTCTTCATTTTAGCTGGCTGTTTAAATTTTGCTGTTTTTATGGAGAAAACTGAAAGAATGTCTTCATGTCCGCAAATTTAAAAAGGGTAACATTTAAATCTTTTAGGAAATTTTACCAGAACCGCAAACAAAACAGCGGCAAATATTTGCCGGCTTACAATATGCCACAGTCGACTTTGGCCAAACATTCAACTCCGTGCGGAGCACGGTTATTTGCTAGTATTAAGTATTCTACATGTGGTTTACCAATAGAACCCGATGACATACCTTGGCTTACTTGTGTTGTACTGCGAAAGGGTGTAGATCTCCGTGTAGGATGTACGACGCGTAGAGATGGCAGCGTAGTCGCAGAGATAACCAGTAGACGTTTAGCAGCAGCAGCAGCGTAGAGAGCAGATATAACCACAGTAGACGTAGTCCCGGATTAGTAGTTTCACATAGATTTTTATTATTAACTACACACACAAATATATATATACATAATACAGCCTATAGGCAACCATGCCTAGGCTCTCTGACTACATAGTGTCTCTCTAAATCTTACATCTTCTGTCTCTCTCTTTGCTTGTCAATGCTGCTTATATATATGGCTCAAAACCGGCTCTAGAAACTCGTCTGTCTAAAACCAGACCCTTGCTGGGAAGCAAGCGATGCCCGCTCGTAGGTGCATGCGTCGTGTTACTTATTCTCTAGCGCAAGGCGGATGCGGAAGGCGCGCCCGTCCATTGTAGTTTGCGCGTTCGTCAACTACTCCTATACATGTAGATGCTCTAGGTGTGACGTTCTAAGCGTCACGTCCGGTTACCCGCTTGCTGCATACAATAATTCTTCCTTCCATCTCGAAGTATTTGTGTCCCCACAAAAAAATACAGTTTGCATTAAAAACATTAAACCTTAAAAGTTGAAAACATTAGTCCAAGCTTGCAAACATCAAACAGTGCCATAATACATGTTATATAGTAGGTGTGCTCTATGCTGTAATTTTACAAGCCCGGCACCGACCGCGTTTACGTGTGATATAGCGATGGTAAATCCTTGGGGTAGAGAAGGGATGGAATGTTCGGTTTTGAAACGAGTTGAGGGGGATCTGCAGCTGTCTAGTAAAAATGACGTCTCATTTTCCGTATCACAGGAAGGGGTCGACAGTCT